ATATATAGGAACAATTTAAAAAAGAATAAAAACAAAAATAGTGGAAAAGAATATAATAGACATAAAATATATTCTATCTAATCCTAATATATATATATATAATAAAATCAAATAAGAAAGCCGTACCAAGGACACGTCTCCTTTCTTCCGTATGCAGAGATTCGTAATTGTTTTTCTTTTATTTATCAAAGTGCTTCCCCACATCAATCACTCTCACACTAATTATTAATTAATTACTCCTTAATCCCTCCAAAAACCTCCAATACAATAAATACTAATACAAGCTTCAAAATCCAACAAGTACAAGTGTACAACACCCCACCCCACCCCACCCCACCCCCCAAAATTTGTATATAAATACACACAATTCACTCTTCATTTTCTCCACATCAAAAAACAACAAAAACCCTACTACTATACCAATCTTTTTCATACCTACATTCATCTTTTTTATTTTATTACAAGCAACGTAACTATTTAATTATATTAATTAAAAAGAAATGGAGAGAGTGAGCAAAATGGTGTCGGAGAAGCCGGTGGTGATATTCAGCATGACCACGTGCTGCATGAGCCACACGATCATATCCCTCTTCAGCGACTTCGGCGTCAATCCTATGGTCTACGAGCTCGACGAGATCTCGAGGGGCCGAGAAATCGAGCAAGCCCTATCTCGACTCGGCTGCAACCCCACCGTGCCGGCGGTGTTCATCGGCGGCGAGTTCGTCGGAGGGGCCAACGAGGTCATGAGCCTCCACCTCAAAAGGGCCCTCAAGCCCATGCTTAAAAGAGCCGGCGCACTTTGGGTATGATTAATCCGGCGCCGACACGAATTAATTAATAATTAATAATTAATAATAATAATTACAGTGCAGTAATTTTTGTTGCACGTGTTATTATATAAATAGGTTTAAAGTTTAATTAAGAGTGGGGATTAGTTGACTAGTCTCTGTTTGTTTTATGAGGCTTTTTGTATGCTCCAGTTTTGCCTAATAATCTACTGAATTAAATATATTTCATTTTTAATGATTTTTTTTTTTTGGTTAATTAATATGTATTTCCAGTTTTGAACTAATAAAAATTTGATTATTAAATAGATTCTCTTGGATTTGGGTTCGCCATAAATGTAATTAATAAATAATTAGCAGAAGAGTGTGTACGTTGTGCATGGAAATTAATTTAATGGGAAAAATAATTAATAAATAAAGCTGAAATAATAGAATACAATTTTGTGTGGGGATGGTTAATATAATATAATATAATACCACTAATATTGTAGTGACTGATTCCAACAGCAAAGGACAGCACCGCCCACACTTTTGTGTCAAAAAAAGGATATTATTTAAGAAAAAAAAAGAATATAATATATAATTCGGCACAATCTTCGATAAAATTTTGGCATTTCGGGCCAAGCCGAAGCCCGATAGAACCCAAATATAATAATTTAAGTTCGACCAGGGCCGGCTCTAGTGCATAGGCAACTTAGGCCTACGTCTAAGACCCCCAAACTGTATTTAATATTCATAGGGCTTCGTAAATTATGTGTATTATAAATTAGGGCCCTCAAATTTAAAATATATTTTTTTATATTTTCATAAAACTAAATAAAATTATTTATATGAAAGTCAAATTGTAGAAAAAATAACATAAGATCTAATAATTTTAATATTTACACTTCAAATAATAAGAAAATACCAAAAAAAATATTTTAATTTTAAATTAAAAAATTAATATAAGGGTCTGAAAAAAAATTATTTGCCTAGGGTCCCATATGGGCTTGAGCCGGCCCTGTCGACCTGTCACGAGCAGGCCCAACAACACCGTTATTTTATATATGTACGTCATTTATTTCCTATTTATACATATAATTTTTTTTTTTGCGTGATGAAGGAACTCTCGCGCAGTCAACTGTATAGATGCATTGAGTAAACCTACACTGTCGTATAATTACTGACTCAACCATTGAATATTTTTTTCACTAGAGTTGGTGTGCAGTGACTCTTCGCATTCTCGATTAACTGCTCAACTCGTAAACGTCACCAAAACACTAACTCCCGAATCGTGGAATCGGGTCCTCCATGTTTAATATATATATATATATATATATATATATATATATATATATATATATATATATATATATATATATATATATATATATATATATATATATATATATATATATATATATATATATATATATATATATATATATATATATATATATATATATATAT